AGTTTAAAAAAACGAAAGAAGTGTTAAGAGTTCATTAATAGGTAGGATTATTAAAGTTTCTTTACTATCATTAGTACTTTTAATTTTTAATTTTTAATTTTTAATTTTTAATTTTTTGATTTAAATATATATATTATAATTGAAAAACTAAATATCATAATATTTTCTTGCTGAGCATTAAATGTATATATATATATTTTAATAATATTGTTAATTTCTTAATTTGAAGTTTAAATCTCTAAAAATTGTATTTTAGATAGAACAAAATTCTTTGAAAATAAATATTTATTATTATTTCTGTCTAAACATATTATCAAATCTTTGTTAACTCTTCAAATATTTCTGCATTAAATTATAGAGAAGATGCCATTAACAAAATTATCGCAACTAACAAAATAATAAAAAAGCAGCAATTCTTCCAAATTTATATATTAATTCAAATACCTTATAAATAATTCTCAATATGAAAATAACAATTATCTTTACAATTCTGAAAAAAATTGAATTATCTTACAACTAACATTCAAAAATAGTTAAAGTCAATAATAAATTGTATTATGATAGAACTTCAAAAATCCTATAGTTTGATGTTTTTTCTCTATAATTAAATTTAAAAATGGATTGATAATAATATTTATTTTTAATTTAAATTAGAGAACTTACTTTATAAATCAGAGATTTCTTATCGTAAAGGATTTGTGGATTCAAATTTTTTATTCAACATTTATTCTTACTTATTAATTTTATGTTAAATATATATAACAAAGCCTATATATATTGAAGAGCTCTTAGAAATTATTAGAACTCAAAAGTCTGTTGATTCTAAATTATTATCTTATAATTACTTAACTATTTCATTCACAAATTTGTATTATTTTGTAATATATTCAAGCTTTTCGTATGAAATATTCTAAAGAATTTTCTAACATACTATATTTCAAAACAAAATAAGTAGAATTTTTCAATTTGGATATTAGATATTTAATAAGTTTGTCTGAAATATTTAAAAAAATAAAAAAAAATATTTTTATAATAATTTTTTTTAGTATAATTGTAAATTTTGATCAAATAAATTTTAGAGAGTAGTATTTCTAGATCTGATATAAAACCTG